GTGTCTGCCCGCTGGGGTCCCGCCGCCTCGCGGCCTTCCGGCGGGGTTGAAGCCGTGCGAGCGGCACCAGCTCACGTGCTGATTGCGCAGTTCCAGGAGGCACCACGGTGCTGGTGGAGCTCACCCCGGACATCCACATCTGCGGCATCTGCAAGCAGCAGTTCAATAACCTCGATGCCTTCGTGGCCCACAAGCAGAGCGGCTGCCAGCTCACCAGCGCCGCGGCCGGGGCCGCCAGTACGGTCCAGTTTGTGTCGGAGGAGACGGTGCCTTCGGCACAGGCCCAGGCCACCACCAGAACCATCACTTCGGAAACGCAAACCATCACAGGTATCGGGGCGTTAGGTGTGACGAGCGTGCAAGCGCTCGAGCGGCGGCGCTGCGTGGCCTTGGTACTCACCTTGTCCCCATCACTTGAAGTGGAAATAACGGTTGTTCACGTTAGTCGGCACATAGGTGCACGCAAAGGGAGAAAAATAAGTCGTGTGCTGCCGTTTTGGTATGACAACAGTTACTTAATTTGCTAATTGAGGTACGAGTTCACTTAGAATAGCTTAAGTCTAATGTGTTGTATAACCAACTCATGAAGGCTAATTAAAATTGTCAATACTTATGAAAAATAATCAAATTACCATTCATTTTATTTTTTTAAGAGTGCTCTTGATGAGAAACAGGCTCAGGATTGCTGTCAGGCACCAATCCAGGCCTGTTTTATATGAGAACGCTGCATTCACTAGCATTGCTTCCACAACTAGAAAAATATTACTCCAAGTTTCTGCCTATGCAAAGGCTCAAGTGAGGTCCTGATCCTGCAAACATTTAAGTATAACTAGAATCTTATTCCATGCATGAAGTTTTGCCCTTCTGTATGTAGTTTTATTTTGTTCTGGTGTGGGACCTTACTAAAATGTAAATTACTTAACTTTAAGTTGGATGGACAGAATAGGGAGGAGCATCTGAAAGAGCAGTGAAGCAAACTAATTCAGGGCTTAGTTCCAGGAATTTTTGTATTACAAGCCCTCAACTCAGTGTGGGTTTTGGATGAGTCACTTTTCTGCTTCTTATTTACACATCTTTAAAATGAGGGCAATGACACCATTCTGCCCTTTTTAGGATATAGTATTGTTTAGATGATTTAAAAGCCAATATTTTGACTGATACAGTTTTATCTGTTATTTTTATGCATAACAGTTACAAAAGGTATAGTTGAAAGGAGCTGAGCTTTTTAAAACAGTTTTTGATTTGTTTTTTGGACAATATTTTCTGTCTACATAGTTTGGGTTTTTTTTCCTCTTCTTGGCTCTAGCACAGCCAATGTTGAAAAACAAACATAACTTTATTAGCGTAAGGCCTGGGCAGGCATCAGAAGAAACTGAACCGTTAGTTGTGCAGTTAGATAGGATTCAAAGAGGGAGCCGAGTTAGGGTCGTACTAAGTTCAGCATGGCTTATCGGGTCTTGACAGCGTTCTCATCTGATAGCAAGACAACAAGGGAGAGAGCAGCTCTCTCCCTGCCCCCCTTATGAATAGGAAGCCAGGAACAGGAATGTTACTGGAAAATGGGATAGAGAAGAAATTAATGAAATTGGGAAAATAACTAAATTTAACTTACTGGAGAAGTTAATGCTGTCAAGTTGAGCTATTTTGTGTGTTTAGTTTCTGCCCCAGAGTTTGTTTTTGAGCATGGCTACCAAACGTACCTGCCCAGTGAGAGCAGCGAGCCTCCAGCTGCTGCTATTGTCTCCACGCCACCAAAAGCACGCTCGAGAAAATCCACTTCTTCGCTTACACAGAAGAAACTGAACTGCTGCTATCCAGGTAAGGTGAAGACTGTCTCCCCCTTCTTTGCATTTTAAAATCAATAGGTTTGGTATAGTTGTGTGCACGGTAAGGCTGTCTGTCTAATGCAGTTAAGGTGCACAAAATTTGGAAAGCAACCTACTCACCAAGGGTGAGATCTGCTAACATTGATGTCAGTAGCACTTTTGCTGTTCTCCTCACGAGTCCTTGGACTTTGGTCCTATTCTGTGGTATATTCTGGTGATGCTCCGCTGGACCCTGGCACACCCATCACAGTGTAAGCACAGAGCCTTGTTAGCCTTTTGCTAACTACCATCGTTGTACGTGAAAAATCTTATACGTGCATTTTGCATTACACGCTTTATCTTTGGTCAGCTAGAATGTTTATAAGGATGGATTGAACTGAAATATTGACAGAGCTTACTATGTAAAAGAACCATACAATATGCAGAAAATGTATGCAGAGACAGCCACATAGATGAGTAGCCATATTAATGAGAGCAAAAATTACAGCATCTCTTTGCAAGCCTGCCTTCATTTGAGAGGCACATTTCAAATGCACAGCTTTCATTTCTCTGCTCTAAAACTGTAGCACTCTTGGATAGGATTTTTGAATGGTGAGCCATTAGCCGAGTTCCCAACAGCACTAATCTTGAGATTATATGTGAAATTAATCAGTTCCACCTGTGTCCCCCGTGTACTGTGAAGAGCATCTCAAGTTCTAGGCAAGATTCCAGAGAATTTGTTTTAAAGCTTACTCAAAGAATTACAGAAAAGGGTAATGTGGAGAGTGAATTGTCCCCTAGGGAAGCACTAGAAAGCTAAAGTTCATAGGTAATCCAGTTACTATTTTAAGTAGATGGGAGGAAGCAAGATGGGGACTTCATTTTCCAGAAATACTGAATTTTAAAGAAAACGTACCTCAGAAGAAAGACAAAGCCCAGAGTAGGGTAGTACGTTTTTATTGTTCTTGTCTTGTTAGCTTTTCCTTAATGTCTTTTTTTTTCCTTTTTGGTCATCTTATGTTTTCAGGTTGCCAGTTCAAGACTTCCTATGGTATGAAGGATATGGAACGTCATCTACGAACACACACAGGTTAATGTAGTTGCTGTATTTTGTGTTTTTAGTTATTTTCTACCCTCTCTGCCTTTTGGCAAAAGGTATTTTCCTACAAAACTACATATCTATAGATAAATTAGAGAAGATACACACGTCTGTACGTTCTAACATTGTAGTCCTCTGTGTCTGGAGGATTGCCCTTTTTGGTAATCCAAGTCCCACTACCGCCTATGCTGTTCACAGGTACGAAACTTAAAACACTGTGCGTTGGTTAAAGGAACAGCTGAGCTTCTAAAATGCATGCCACGTCTTTGTCAGTGTGCTGCAGTATGGTAGTACATAATTTCTCCTTAATAATTTGCTAATTTGCCCTTAATTTCTAACAGTGATTCCAAAAGTTCTCCAAACAGCAGTTTCAGAGTTGTAAGGGGAGAAATTTCCAAAAGTCTTCTAAATTGTTTCTGTACTTGCTTATGCACCCTTTTGGAGCATGTTAAGAGAGCTTAGTTAATAGGCTGGCAGTTGAAATCCTGCATCCAGTACGTACTCTTACAGAAGCCTTTTCAAGAACTAGCACTGTTACTATTTTAGTGTTTGGTGCACTGTTTTTTTGTTTTGTTTTGCTTTTTATTGCTGCAAAGGTCCTTATGATGCAAAAATTCTTGATGTGTTGGTGCTCTTCCGTTTGTTTCAGGAGACAAGCCCCATAAATGTGAGGTTTGTAACAAATGCTTTAGTCGTAAAGATAAGCTGAAGATGCATATGCGTTCTCATACTGGGGTGAAACCTTACAAATGTAAACACTGTGACTATGCAGCTGCCGACAGCAGCAGTCTCAACAAGCACCAGCGCATTCACTCCAATGAACGTCCTTTTAAATGTCAGATCTGTCCTTATGCAAGCCGCAACTCTAGCCAGCTCACTGTACATCTCAGATCCCACACAGGTAAGCCTATACCAAGATTCAGATCTGTAAAGATTTGAAAATCACTGGGAAGATTTTTAGAAGCTCTACAGGTGTCAAGATGCCAGGAAGTGTCTATTTGATTTCTCAGAAGCTGGATGCCTAGATGTACAAAAGCTGGATGCTCGTGGCATAGAATCCAGTAGGGCAACACAGCTCAGCCAGAAATACGTAGAAGCAATCAGAAGACGTATCTGACTCTTGGCGGTTGCTCTTCTAAATTGATTTTTGAAACTATCTGTGGGACATTCTTAAAACAGTAAAACTTAAGGTGTGTTGTTGTTAGCATTTGGTTTCCTTTCTGTGTCTTTCAAATCCGCTTCACAATATTAGAAGCGCTGAAATATTTGTGTTCTTCTCCTAGGTTTCCTTTTAATCAGATTTGCTTTTGTAGGCCATTCCTAGAAGTGGTTTGCTGCAAAGATACTCCTGTACGGTTATCTTTGATACGTAGTTATTTTCATGCATTGTTTTTCACCTAGTCCAGGATACTGAATTAGTTTCCATGTTGTCCTTCAAATATTTGATTAGTTCTGTGAATGTTAGCTGCAAGGTGGTTACGGTTCAGTGTTTACTAGATTAGCTTTGAACCTGTGCTAGGTCTGATTCTGAAATGAAGTACTAAACAACGTTAGTTCAGATGTGTACAAGATGGGATTTATTTTGAGTAGGTAAAAGAAACAAATCCCTTGTGCATTGTGAAGGAGAGGAGGGTTAAACCAATCGGTCTGTAGCAGAAAAGAATCTTTTATACTTCGCACATCTGCCGTGACGGAGCAGGCAGAACTATCAGCCAGTTGTTTTACAAGTTTGCCTATTCTTTGCTATGTAAGATGTGATGGTGGGTCAAAATAGTATAAAGTTCTTACAGTATAAAGTTCTTGCAAGAAGGTACCTGGTAGTAAACATACTAATTGGAGACCATGATGACACTTTTTTGCCGTGTGATAGAGGAGTGTGCATACTCGTGCATTTATGTGTATGGACAGGTATGCTCTGAATTCAGCTGTGGGAGAACTTCTGAATGATCGTTGTGCTCTTGCATTTCCTGGAGAGGGTGTGGGTGTGGTAGGTGGTTTTTTATTTGTTTTTGGTTTTGTTATTTTTTGTTACATTAAATATTGTAGCAGTCAGAAAAGTTTTTTAGATGGGTTCTTTTTGGCAGATCAGTCTGATGCATCATTTAATTACGCTAAAATTCAAGTCAAGTCTCTAGTTTGGTTGTCTCTTCTATTTCTTCCAAACAAATCTTTTTTTTTTTTGTAAAAAGACCTTTCCTTAGTCATTGATTTGCTGAAAGAAAATGTAATAACTTAGAAAATAATTGTTTCATCCTTGTTATATTGCAAAGCTGTTAAGCACACTTGACCAGTTTTAAGAGAAAACAGAGATCGGTATCTACAATGCATTCCTTATTGGAATAAAATTAGTCTGTCTCTAGAAGGTGAGTGTAACTTACACAGCTCTAAATTGGATCATCTACATACCCTTACTTGTTGAACTGTTCATATAAATATCAATTTTCTGTTGAGAAGAATTGTTCTTACGGATAAGAGTTCTAGGATCAGACCTTTCTTTTTTATTTTCTTTTCTCTTTTAAGTTTGGTTCTCGGTGTCAATTATGTAAGGGTATAAGTAGAGTGAAGTGTAAGTAACAGACCACTCTTTAAATAACAAAACAAACATTATTTCCATTCACTAAATTAATAATTTTATCTTTCTTGTATTACACTACCCTGCATATGAAAATTAATCCATTGAAATATGTACTGTGCCTTCATCAGTAAAGCAGATAAAAATTCAGTAGCTGAGTATGCAGCTGAGACTGTAAAATAAACTAGATGAGCAAACAGTGTATCTTCATTTATATAGTCTGTGTACTATACATAATACACCATGTATCTCAATTATTAAAAAGATAAATGGATGAGCACAGTAGGCCACAACTTGATTTGAAAAATTTGCAGCTACGTTTATGGCATCTATAGCTGGATAAGCAAATTATGCAAAATTATACAGCTATCACAAACTCTATGAAATATTAACTTATAAAATAAATTAGCTATTTGCAGTTTGATTATTTAAAAAAAAAAAGAAACATTTGCTGAACTAAGTACAGTCTCTTTCTCTTCCCCATACCCTTAAAACTCCATTTTAGCACCCACTAGCACAGTTCTTCCACTTCTCCAAAATAGTACCTAAACATTTTACGCTCTGGTCATTTAAAGACGTACCTATTTAGGTTAAAGAAAAAAGTGAATGATGCTATTCAGTCGGTTTGGTAGGTTTGCTTTGAATTTTCTAATGACTTCAGAAAGGTGTCACTGGTCTTAGCCGTTGGATCAATTCCAGGGTAGTAGACTAAACAAATCTACAGCTTAGTTTGATCATGCATGCTGTGACACAAGCCTGCAAATAAAGAAAATGCAAAATAGAACCAGATAGTTTAAATAGTTACTCACATACTCACATAGGTAGTTTGACTACTAGTGAACTTACAGAAGAATATGTCCGTTTTTCACACTTTAGCAGTTAAGAATGTAACCTGAGTTTCACCTTTTAACTTTTGGATCAGGAGTGTCCTTATAAAAATTAAGCGTCTATGAATATTTTACATTCATGTAAACATGAATGCAAACTGATTGGAGTTTCTTCAAGTGGTCTGTAGAAGATTATTAGGTGTGATGAATGGTGCACATATCTCTTTTTCAGGTGCTATAATGCCAGAAAAAAACAAAAGCTTCGTGCTATTTCTGTTAAGCACACTTCCCTTGAGTCACACACTTACATGCGTGTTTCATCAGTATCCTCTTTCTCTTTTCCAGTTATCGTTGTGTATCTGTGATTCCTTGTTGTTGTATTGCTCTAGTAATGCTGTGGTTCTGCAGTCACCTATATAGACTCTTGTCCATACACCACCCAATGTTCTGGACAAAAATTTTGTCTCCCTCCATTGCGCCAACAATAGTATTTGTGCGGTACCACATGAGCTAGGGCAAGGAATTAACCAGGCCAAAAAGTAGTCAGTTTTTTTTAAATCAGCTAATTTAACTTACCCTGCGAACAAATCTGGGTACGAGAGAGGTAGTAAGGAATATATGGGTGAGCGGGGAGGCTAGTGCCAGTTAGACACTCGTTTCTGCAGTTTTCTACCATTTAACCTGGGCTTAAAGTTCACCTGCAAGCCATACTGTAAATCGTGTAATTTAAGCCCAACACATGCATATGTTTATGTTGATTTCTTAGACTTCACAAATCTAGCAGATGTTAAACTTCTACAATGTTTATTTTAATTAATTTTAAACACTAGTTAGGCATGCTGTTGCTGAAGAGGGATACATGGAGAAACTTCAGTCACTTCTTTTGGAGCACTTTGGATAGTTTTACCCACAAAATAAACTGAAAATGGAGACTATCTAACATGCAGATATGAAGCCACAACAGGTGTGGGCAGGTGTGCTCTTGGAAAGTATACACACAAGTATTCAAACCAGGTGATATATACCTTGCAGAGTTCTCTACATTTTGAAAATGTGTTAGTTTACAGGTGTCTGAAGCCAGTCAGCTGTGTATTATAGCAGCTGATCTCTCCAGGAGAGAGATGGATCCTGCTTTCTCTTCTCTAATTTGAAATGTGTTTTTTGTTGACAGGAGATGCTCCTTTCCAATGTCAGATGTGTCCTGCTAAATTTAAAATCAACTCGGACTTGAAGAGGCACATGCGTGTGCACTCTGGTGAGAAGCCTTACAAATGTGAGTTCTGCGAGGTCCGATGTGCCATGAAAGGAAACTTGAAATCACACATTCGTATCAAGCACAGCATGGAAAATACTCTAAAGTGTCCAGAGTGTGAGTTCCAGTGTGGAAACAAAACAAGCCTTCGGCACCACATAAGAACTCATCAGCCTGAGCAGCCAGTGAAGTGTTCGGAGTGCAACTACTCTTGCTCCAACAAGGCGGCTCTGAAGGTACACGAGAGAATTCACTGCAAGGATCGTCCTTTCAAATGTGAATTCTGCAGCTTTGATACCAAGCAGCGGAGCAACCTGACAACTCATGTGAGGAAAGCTCATGGAGACAAAGTCAAGACCAGGAAGCCAACTGTGGAGAAGAAAGAAGGAGATAGGCCAAAACAGGGTGGCTCCAGGCAAGTCGCCAAGTTGGATGCCAAGAAAGCATTTAAGTGTGACCTGTGTGAGGCTTCCTTTGTCCGAGAAGATTCTCTTAGGAGTCATAAGAAGCAGCACAGTATGTATAATGGGACTAAAAATAATGAACTGGCTGTTCTACAGCTTCAGATGGATCCCAGTAGGCAGACCAGTGCCCCAATTACTGTCAGTCACCTCCAGGTCCCACTTCAGGCTGCTCAGGTTTCTCCGTACAATGAGGGAAGGGTCAAGATCATTGTAGGTCACCAGGTCCCTCAGGCAAACAGTATAGTTCAGGCTGCATCGGTGAATGTCATGCCTCCCACGTTAGTTAGCCAGAATCAGGAAGACCTCTCAGCCAATAGCCGGTTGCAGCTGCTGGGCCAAGTCAGTTTGTTGGCGCCACCTCCACCTCCCATATCTCAGAGCGAAGCAGGGTCTGTGGCACAACCAGCAGTTCTTCTCACAACTCATGACCAAAGTGATGGAAGTGCTTTACACCAGACTCTGGTTCCTGCTGCTCCTGTCAGCAGTCATGAGGCTTCAGCAAACCAAGCTTTCATCACCAGCTCTGGAATCAGCTGCTCTGACTTAGAAGGCCTTAATGCTTTAATACAAGAAGGAGCAACGGAAGTGACTGTGGTTAGTGATGGAGGTCAGAGTATCACTGTGTCCACTTCAGCTCCCCCTCCTCCTATCTTTTCCTCGTCCTCTCACACAGAAGCCCCTAAGCAGACCTATTCTATCATTCAAAGTGGAGCGCATACAGCTTTGCTATGTCCAGCAGACTCCATACCAGATTAGTCACAGAGTACTATTCCTAAACAATTTTCGGTCTCTGCAGCAGTGCTGAAGTCAGCAAAACTGCACAGGACAGGAGTGAATGCAGAATTTGTTCTATAAAGCCAAATACCTTCCACATGCACGTTTTACCTGTCTATACGACTTGTATGTGGAAAAAGAGGATGTGTATATTTATGTGCCTCTATTAAAATCAGAGGCTGTATTCTTTGTAAAGTCTTGAGTATCAAAGCAACTGTTTAAAATTTCACCTAGCAGTAAGCTTCCCAGAATATAATTCTTCTGTCGTACTTGATAAATTAAGAAAACATCACCTTACGATAAATGATCATCACAGCAGACTCATGTTTTTATGCACACACAAAAAGATAATAGTTCAAGCCATTCTGAAGTATATTTTTAAGAAATGCCAGTGGATACATCAACTGGACCTGACTTTTTAGAAATACCTAGTACCCAGATCTCTTGCAGCCATAGTAAAAGTTATGGGACCTATTCCTTAATGACAGTAGAAGTTGGTAGCACCTGACAATTAATCTGGAAATGCTTGTGCAGAAGCAGACCAGGTGATTGTTTTTAGAAGACAGAAAAATTTTGTCCCTCCATCACTAATAACTACCTTTACTTGTTAGCAAGAACACTATTGCAAATCATGTACGTGGCACAGTGATCTGTCAAGAGTTTCTTTTGTTTTAAAAAACGGAACTACTACAAATATATTTTTTACAAACACAGTACTTACATTTTTGTTTTTATTTTGATGTTGTCTCGTACTTGTTTATGGTTGCATGGGTAGAAAAAGTGCATTGTATTTTTGGCTCTGTTCTTTTTCAGAGTAAAAGGGGAAAAAGAAAAGATTGGACTCATTCCAGTAAAAAATGAAAATTAGTGGATTCTTTGCCAAGTATCAAAACTAGCATAAATTCAGATTGGATCACAGCAAGATAGTAGTTTGTTGTTAAACGATGTACATTTGTATAATGAGTGCATATGTGAATTTAGGGATGTATTTTGAACGATACGATATTATAGCACTGTCCAGTGAGCACTCCTGTAATGGTAGCTAATATCTTCCCAAACAAATTACCCAGTCAAAGTACAGACTCCTAACTTGGGAAAGTTGACAGCTCTACACTGTAGCAGCCTGGATCTGCAAAAGTGAGAGAGCATTTCACAGCCAGACAGCATCCCAAGGACAATTGTTAACGTGCGTGAAAACTGAAAAGAAACTGTTACCAAAACCAACTCAGAGGGTCCCTCTTGGGGAATCGAAGTCAAGTTAGATTTCACAGTTTTTTGCTAGTGGGAGACACCAAATGATTGCTTTATGTTCTAGAAACATGCTTGGAAAACTTGTAAGGAAGATTATATAATTAGGTCCACTTTCTGAATATGCCTCTTGTGTTTGAATTTTTTTAACCTGTACAGTCTTTATTTTTCATGTGTAGGGCTGCCTCCCCACGTCTCTTTCCTCTATATGGTACAATTTCTCTTTGCGGTGTAAGGCTTCCTGCTTTACAGTGGTAGACAGGAAAATGCAGTCTTAAGTCAGAAGTGCATTCATAGAGGTTGTTCCTGAAAACGTGGCCTTTGTTTTTTGTCAAAAGAAGGATTGTTTAAACTTAATACTATTTTCCGATGAAGACAATTTTTTGGAAGTCTGGGTCTCCTGCCTCCCTCATCCTTCATTCTAAATTAATGCCCTTTTAAAACAAACGAAAATACCCTTCCAAATAATCCTTTTATTTTTTGAATTCTCATCTTTGATTTAAACTGCTTGACAGTGTATGCTTCCAGTTATGGATATCGGAATAGACCATACTTCAGTTAGGAGAAACCTCAGGAATGCTTAATTAAAAAGGTGTTATTAAAGTGGTGTTTCCTAGCCTCCTGCTACATTGAAATGTGAAGTAAAAATTCTAACTTCACAGACAGCTATATTTCAGGGATTATTATCCCCTACGCTTGTTCTCAGACTACTGTGGTGATACAGGTTATCACCTGCTAATTATTTCTTCCCTGCAGACAGCTGATTTATGGAGCTGACAAGGCCCAGTTCCAACTCGCTGAGCGCGCCTGTTTTTATATATATTAGAAGTATGAAGCAGCAGGGTGTTTCTGCATTAGATCACTGCGGAGACATTCATTGAGAACAATGAATTGAAAACCTAGAAACTGAATTTTAATGTTGGCATTGCTGTGTTGGGGCTTGCTGGTCATGTCTCGTCGTGCTGTAACACAGACCTGGTTGCTACCTCTCAGTGGTGTCGAAGCTGCTTGTGAGGCACCGGGAAGATGAGAGGCATCACAGGTAAGTGCTTGATCTTATTATATGTGGTCACTGATACCAACTTCGTAAGTGATCACTGGAGCAGCATAGATCAAACTCCTTATGTTATCTTTGAATTAAAATGCATGGCATGGTAATTCTTTTCTGTTAACCCATCTCCAAATGCTTAGGTGTGCGGGTGCATGCTCTGAACTGTCCGACTGAGAACAACAGGGCCAAAAGTTACTGCAAACGCTAGCAAAAGATGGGGACGCTTTCAGTCATATAAAGTAATACATTTTTCACCCCCCTCAAGGTGTCTGCAGACTGCGTGCAGCACTAGTGTTGCAGGGGAGGAGAAGCGGGTGCTCTGCTGCCCCGGACACAAGCGCGTGGCTGAGCTGCCCACGCTGCTGCACGTGCTGGCCGGCAACCGCAGCGCGACAGCGAGAGCAAGCGGGGAAGTTCGGTGCAGCTCCCAACAGCTTTGCCCTGGAGAGGGAGCAGGGCTCGTTCAGGTCGCTGCAGCAGTCCAGCGTACAGCACTGCTCCCCAAACCGTTTCGCTAGCATCGCTGCACGGGTGGTCAGCTACTAGTGGGATCCAGATGGAGATGATGGGGGGAGGATTTCCTCAAAGTGCTTTTATTTGACTCTTTATTTTACCATATTTATAGCATTGAACGAACACAAATGATGATAGCTAGTATCTCTTTAGAGCAATCACTGCTTTCAAATCCTGTCGGGTGTCTGAGCATGAAATGTTTTGTATCCTCTATAGGTGGTGCTAGAGATCCAGTTAAGCGTAGCCCTTTCTGCTTAGTAATGCATGTTTCCTGTTAAAACAGATTTCACAGCTTCCTGCTTTTAACGCTTTCCCAGGTACAAATGGTGAAAATATTTCAAAATCCACTTTTGTAAGAAGTTACAAAAGGCCTAGTTGTAAACACCCTGTTAAGATCCCATGAAACAGACTCATAGCCAGAAATTAATCTCACAATTTAATATAAGCATTGATAACTTTTTAACTTCCTATTAATTAATCTTAGCTGGGCATAGTTTGCAGCTGCAGGTTTTAGTGCACTACAAGAGTGCTACGAAATGAGAGATTTTTGACAAAGCTGATGGTTTGAATTGCAGTTATCTGTGTTTTCCCTTGGCCAATAGACCTTCACCCAGGGGATGCACCACTAAGTCCAGGAATCTCATCTTCAATCTAATGTCACACTTAACGTTACACAGCTCTGTTATCTGCATTTCAGTTTTACAAAAAGAGTTGTTTACCTTCTAAAATAGGAAACCAGTAGATTTGTCATATTGTAAAGACTAACCTTCATTCTAGTCCCGTGTGTACCTCTAAGATAAACAGGAAAGATAACAAAATGGTGTGAATGAATAGACAAAGCTTAGTGCTGCTTCTTCAACATTGTTGAAGCTGATTGCATTATGTTTAAGTAAACAATGTATAGAGAGTTCTTTCCTCCACCCTAAAAAAAGTAGCTGATAACCAAGCCTGAAGTAGGAGCAATGTTTTTTGTCTTTCTATTCCAATATTCTTGCTTTATGTTCAAAAGCAGCGGTTGTTAGTGTTTGGGAGCTGGCAGAAGCAGATTGTTTTAATCTCTGATATTCATTTAATACATTCTTCATGTTATCAACAGAACTGTCCCTTGAGAGAGCATGGTAATTCAGAACAGTGTCTCCTGTAAAGCTCCCTCGCTTTCAAGCCCCTGCTAAATAATCCGCGTAGCCAGCTAGAGTTCTAGCACAGCCACAGAGATCTGTAGCAATTTGTCTCTTTCCTGAAGAAAATAATATTTGGGTGGATTTCGTTCCTCTTGCCTCAGGATCTCAAAGGCCTCTGCGGTAAGTATCGAGAGCTACTTCACGCGCGTGACACAGGGTAATCAAACCCGGTTGTCCTGGCCATCAGGAGCGCGTCTCACTTCCCGCTTCGTACAAAATGCACCGTTTACGTTGCGGTGCATTGCGTTGCCTCTAAGAGGAACACGGAGAATTAAATATGCCTAAATTAGGTTCATTCCACACTTAATTTTCATTGCAGATTTTACTCCCTACAGTTTGGTGTCTTTCTACAGTTTGCTTTTGGTGTCCAAAACGTGAGTTACAGCATGTTACTGTCTTCTCTTCCCTGTGAATATGAATCTCTATGACTACTTAAAGATAGGAGGTTAAACAAAACAAGAATGTTAGCAGGAACACTAAGAAAGCGGTGATGCACGGTGTATGCCTTTCGAATAAAGCAACACCCTCCCCTTTCTCCCTTCCCAACCTTTTTTTGTTGTTGTTGTTTTTTGTTACTACATGACACTGCTTTTTAAAATCAGGCCCGGGTACTGCATGGGCAAAGGCTTATTCTCTGCAAGGCCTACTGGAATGTACTTTTCCCTCTACTCCTGTGAAGTAGGAATATGCAGCAGAAAAAGCACAAAGTCCAAAGAAAAACTGTTCTTTGACACCTTTCGTTCTGGGTCAGGGTGGCGGTTAGCTGGGTGGGCTCACGCGCGATGTTCGCAGAAGGTGCTGCGCTGAGCTGGAGCAGTAAACCGGCAGCGTCCTCTCTCCGGCATCTTTCATATGGTTTTGATAGACACTTTAACTGTGATTTGCATCAAAATGGCGAATTCCTGCTCAAAACCAGCATCAATTTGTCTGGTACACAAGGGGGTTACCGGATGCGCGGATGTACCAGGAAGCACTCCTGCGTGATTGCATGGGATCAAGTCCCTCTTGTGAGAGGAGGCCTAAAAACAAGCAGAATTTGGGTCAAAGCTAGTTCCTTTGGGATTCTAGGGAAAGCCAAACTTGTATTGAACTCATGTGATTTTTTTTTTTTTTTAACATTAAAGAATTATAATATTTTCCAATCATTTTGGGAGAGCTATTTAGACTATCATAATCTGACTATAATGGAAAGTACCTTCTGCTGCGGTATTTAAAATTATTCTTTAAAAATATTAGAGGCATGCAATGTGAGGCTCTGGTGTCTGTAAAAATATTTGCTATGTGCTCAATGGAAAGGCTTCTGTCCTATAATTTCAGGCATATTGACTAGATACCGTAATGGCCTTTTACATCTCTAGTTTCTCTTAACAATATTGGTTTCTCTTCTTAAAATTTAAATAAAAAGGTTAAAGATTTTCTAACTAATGTTCCCTGTCACTTATCCCGATGACCTTTCATAAGGTGATAAAAGTTTCTATAGTGACCTGAGGAAATAATGTCTCGGATATCATTGTGAATTAAAAGCCTGTAGTAGGAAAAGCTTTCTTTTCTCTCTCAGGTATCCAGTTATGCCTTTGCTTTTATTCTAATCGCTAGACATGGAGAAGGAATCGTAAAACGTACAGTGTTTGGTTACATGGTTATCTTTCATCTTTTAGAGACTTACCCAGGCACAATGTTATAAGGAAGTAAAAAAGTAAATGGGAAAGAAAATACTTTT